TCCGGGTCCCCGCCGCCTGGCAGCGCTGCCCACCCTGCGCCCCGAGTCCCCGCCGCCGCCTCCTCGTCCGGCCCCGCCGCCCCCTCCCCGGGGTCCCGCCAGTCCCTGCCTGCCGCCGCCACCGCCGCCTCTGGAGCAGCGGGTCCGCAGCGGGTCACCATGCCCAGCAAAACCAAGTACAACCTTGTGGACGACGGGCACGACCTGCGGATCCCTTTGCACAACGAGGACGCCTTCCAGCACGGCATCTGCTTTGAGGCCAAGGTGAGGGGGCCACCCCGAGGGTCGTAGCCTGGAGGGGGCACGTCGGGGTGGATGGGATGCCAGCAGTCCTGGAGGCAGAGCAGGTGGGCTAGGCCAACGTGGGGGCCTTCCTCAGCTTAGGGTTCCAGGGCTCTTGCCCAGAACTGCTAAAGAGCGGCTGCAAAGTTTGAGCAGTGTGGCCTATCCCCTCCCACCTGCAGACTCCCCATCCTTGCCCGCCCAGGCTGGATTGAGTTACTTCCCCGAGCCCTTCAGAGGAGAAGCCGGTGGAGGAGCGCAGCCTGGTTCTTTAGAATCGGTTTAAGGAAGCTCTGGCGTTGTTTACCTGCTGGCTCTCATGAGAGAAGTGCTTCCAGGAAAATCTTCTAAAAGGAGAATGCCTGTTTCCTGACTGATAGAAAAGAATTCAGTGGGGTTTATTTGTTTGTTTCTTTAAATGCCAGGTAACTGGGTCCAGGTGTTAAAGTCACTTCCTGAATGTCTGCTTTTGCACATGCCTGTTATTGAGGTAGCAGTAGTGTGGGTGAAAGTTACCCATTTTCTAGTTTTGTGGTGCATTATTAAGTCTTGGCATTTGCTGATGAAGAATTTAGCCAGGATGACTGGAATTTTCAGGGCCAAGGCCAAACCTCTAGGTCCATCCTTGGGGGAGGAGTGCAGGTGGAAACCTGTGTGCTAGACCATCAGTTGTGTCTAAGGTGGACACTCTGGGATGCACCTCACTGTGTGAGAAGTTCTGGTTTCCCTTTTCTGGTCACGGGGGAACAGTGCTTTATAGTGGAAAAGGATTCTGCACTTACTTCATGCCCCTCCTCCCCCAACTTAAAGACCCAGGGGTACCCAGGACACACAATATGCTAGTCACTGAGGAAAAATTGAGTATTGACCTCCGCATAGATTGCATTTTGAAAACACAGGACTTTTTGATATGGAGGCAATTTTCTGTTTCCTTCTGTAAGAGTTGGAGGTTAGCATCTCATGCAAGGACAGCCACCTGGTGTCTATTTCCTTCAATTTACAAAACATCTTTGGAGTGTCCGATATGTGTCCAAAGGTTACTTATATTTAGATATTTTTTCCCCTTCTCATGCAGAGGTCTGAGTTGATGAATCACAATAATTTTCCCTTAAATAACTTTTCCCAACCATATTATATTTGCTAGAATTAGGGGAGACTCTCTTCTACATGTAGCTATCAAATCCTGCCTTGGAATGCAGAACTGAATTGTTGCGTATGACTGAGAGCAGAGGGGGTCTGGAAGCCAAGATCTTATCTCATTTCTCCATCTCAGAATAGATCTGGTTGGTCTAAAACGGGATATTTGGATTAATTTTCATCTGGGCCTGTGGATTTGGTAAGCAATTTTTTAAAAGTATAACTTTTCATCATGGTTATGATTTAATTTTCTTGGCTGTATAAACTGAGAAATTGACTTTTGTCTGGTTCATCAGTGCTATCTTTAAAAAAGATTTATTTTTATTAGTTTAAATTATAGGTCAATGTGTGGGTATGTGCACATGAATGCACGTGCACCTTGAGGCTAGAGGGGACAGATCCCCCTGGAGCTGGAGTTACTGGTTGTGAAATGTTCCCTGTCATAGGTGCTGAAAACCAAACTCTGGTTCTCTGCAAAAGCAGTATGTGTCCTTAATTGCTGAGCCCTTCTCTCTCTATCTCTAGCTCCATCAGTGTTTTTTTTTTTTTGTTTTTTTTTTTTAAACAGGACAAGGGTAAAAGAAATCAGATTTAAAGTGTCTTTAAGTCTTTTTATTCTTTACATAGTCTTCTGCATTTGATTGCAGCTATGTGTCAAAATCTAATGTGTATATAGATAGGAATTGTCAGATAAGGGTATGAAAATTCCAATTAGTATAATCTCATAATCTCGTGCACTTGGAATGCTGAGGCAGGGGGATTGCTGTGAGTTAGTAGCTTGTCTGGGCTGCATAGTCAGGTCTCTCCCCGCCCCCCAAAACACAAACACACACACACACACACACACACACACACACACACACACACACAAACCCCAAGCAACCAACCAAACAAGATAGTCCAATTCTTTCCATGTTTTAAGTATAGCTTAATGTATTTATGGGGAATGCAGGAATATGTACTTTTAATGAGTGTCCAGGTGACTTAATGCAGGCGACTGCAATCAGACTTTGAGAAATACTGGGCTTGAGGCTTGCCAGATCCCACGCTTTCGTTGCTAGTACCAAACGTGTAGTTTCTTTTCTAAGCAAATGTCTGGGGGCTGCATGATGTAGTTCCTATAGTAACTCTCTAGATTTGCAGACAGTGGTGGTCAATAAGAGGAGGAGCCATGGCTGATCTATGTTGTGTTCCCATTGCAGATCTGAGGCACAGAGGGCTTTGAGAAGGGTGAGGTAGTGAAGGGGCAGGGGTACCCAGTAAGGGCAGTGGTGGAGCTTCCATGGCAAAGGCTGACTTTGAGGACTGGGTCCTGATTCTGAGCTCTTTGTAGTTGATGCTGTTCAAGTACCATGCCAGCCAAGACCTGCACAGAGGTGAAAGCAGATCATCTCTCGCTGTCCCCTGTGTACTCCAATGAGGAATGTACTCCACCTAGGAATGCACCACCATTGGGATTTCAGGGTTAAATCCACACATACTCCTTGTTTTAGAAAAGCAGACTGTAAAATGCAAATGCATTGTTGCCTCATTCAGTACCCTTGAAAAAAAAGAACCCAGGACTTTCTCTCCAAGGGTTGGCCGTTTTTCAGAATCAACAAGGATGGAGTGACTCTCTAGATATATGCTTCTCATTTTGGGGGTTTGGCAGAGATGCAAAGCACTTTGTACTTAAAAACATGCATACAGGCCCAGTATCTTAGTAGACTGCTTGCCTAGCATGTAGGAAGCTCTAGGTTACATCCTCAGCACCATGTATACTGGATGTGGTGGTACATGCCTGTAGTCCTAGTACTTGGTAGGTGGAGGGAGGAGGATCTGGATACTTGAGACTCTGGCTCCCTGCTCACCCCCCCTCCCCCAAATGAATATAATGGTGAAGCTGAATCTAGATGTTTTTACCTGCAAAGCCTCATTTAGGTCTCACTACTTTTTTTTACCAGATGTGTCTCCTTATGTCTGTTTGTATCAACTAGGATGTAGGCTCAGGGAGGTTGCTGCCTGCCTTGGTGCTCACAGCTGAATTGTGTTAAAGCTAGTTAGCATTTAGACTTGGAGCTTTGACTTTAGACTCCTACATCCTCTTAAAGCTCATGTATTCAGTAATTTTTTGTGTCTTTATTATATGCTGAACACTACTTTGATTCCCAAATCTTACACTTGTAGGTGATTATTGGTTTGCATGTGATTTTTTGCAAAGACTTCTGTAGAAACGAGAACATTTAGTGTTTTCTTATTTTTCAGCTGAAAATCTTGGGCATGAGAGATATCAACTCATTTAGAATCACAGACCTTCTCAGTGTTAGATAATGAAAAATATTTTGTGTCAGCCAGACTTTGAGTCACTGTGACAGAATACCCGAAATAAAGAAGGGAAGATTTATTTTAGCTCATGGTTTTAGTCTGTAGTCCTAGCTGTTGGTTCTAGGTGCCACTCAGGAATGAGAACTTTTGAAAGCAAGAGAGGGGAAAACCCTAGGCCCTCCACAATCACTCACCCACCCAATGTGCAGCTGGCAGGAGGGCAGCACACGAGTGTACACTTGGCCACAGAAGTCTAGGCAAGGAAAATGAAGCAAACACCCTACTCGATGATAACAGTGCATTTTATTGTGCATCATGATGGTAGGATGATGTGGCAGAAGCCATTCACCCTATGGTGGACAGGAAACAGAGAGAAAGGGACTGGAGATCAGATAGAACCTTTAAAGGTACATCCTCCTTACCTTCTTCCTCCAGCTAGGCCTCACTTCCAAAAGTTTCTGCCATCTTGTAAATAGCACCACCTGCTGGGGAATATTGCATTTCCAAACTGGAACATAGTTACTGAACACTTGGGTGCCCCATTTTCTAGCTGCTACCTCGCTTGATCCTCATACTTCAGGGCTTTTGATGCCTGGTCTGTGGCTATCTTACCTACTTGTTCTCTCTGTATTCTGAGCATGACACTGTCTGGACTGTGATTTAAGATTGTCAGAACTAGAAAGCACCTTATTCATCTAGTACAACCTCATTTATGGATGAGGAAATTGTGGTCCAGAGGGGAAGTCATTGGCCCAAGGCACAGAACCACAAGTAATCTGTGTCCAGTTATCAATCACTGCCTAACTACCTTAGGACTCAGGCTGGGAACAGCTACATAGTTTGCTGATGATCAGAAACTTAGGTCAGAAACTCAGGCAGGCCTTGGCTGGGTTGTGTTTTTGGTACGTGGGGTGAACATTTTATTGGATTCATTTTTCAGTGACTGGGTTGGAAAGTCCTAGAATGCTTCACTTACATGACTGGTGCTTTAGTGGTCCTCTATGTGGCTATTGTCTCCACTGACCAGGGTAGATTTCCTCACAGCATGATGACTCTTTTGTCTGTAGTTGGCTTTCCAGAGGTGAGAGTGGGTTCTAAGTAAGCATACTCTTCAGGCCTGGCCTTCTGAGTTGTACCCGGTCTCTTCTGCTGAATTCTGTGATCATAACAGGACAGGGAAAAGAAGTAGCTCCACTTCTTTGTGTGTGTGTGTGTGTGTGTGTGTGTGTGTGTGTGTGTGTGTGTATGCACATGTCTATGCATGCCTGTGGAGGCCAGAGGTCAACCTTGGGTATTGTTCCTCAGGAACTGTCCACCTTGCTTTGTTGAGATAGGGTCTCTCACTGGGACCTGGAGCTTACCCATTCATCTAGGCTGTTTGACCAGCAAGTCCCTCCTTCTATCTCTGCCTCCCCAGTGCTGGGATTACAAGCAAGTGCCACTATATCTGGTTTTCTTGTACTGGGGAACTCAGGTCTTCAAGTTTATGTGGCAAGCACTTTACCAACTGAGCTATCTCCCCAGTTCCCTAAACTCCAGTT